CATATTATAACGTCTCCACGGCTGAAAGAGCGAGCATGTTTGGTGACGAGAATTCGAACCCGCAACTCTCAAAGTGCTAGGCCTTAACCAGCAGGCCATGCTAAGTCAAACGTATAAGAACAAGCCGAGTTTCCAAGTTCTCACTTAGTGCAGAATTGTTTTAAACTTCAAAGAAGTTTATTTATCAAAACTAGAGATAGAAATTAACGATTTCAAGTTAATCTACCTATACAAGATATGAAATGTCCAATAAGAAATTCCAATTATTTCCCCTACAATACATTTTATAAATTATTTTATAATATCCATATTATATTTATATAAATATTTTCTATATTTATTATAAAATAGTTTGAAACATTTAATAAAATTTTCTCATCGAACCCATTAAACATCAATTTATGTACTAATATATTAATATTAGATATTAAGTTTGTTTGTAATTAAGTACAAAGCTACACAATGGGCTATCTGTGCTCTGCCCACCACGGGTATCGAACCCCGGATTCTAGCATTGTAAGTCCGCAGAAATACCGCTGTGCCACTAGGGGGCTAGATATTAAGAACTGTACATTACTACAAATTTTACAATACCTAAGAAGTGCATAATGCTCTGTATGGCATTTGTTGACACATTACTGTTTGAAGAGAGAAGTCCAAAAAGTTGAAATGTAAAATAATTTATTTTATCATAAATATTAATATTACAATAATTATTAATAATCTTAATATTTAAATCTAAATAATGTACTTCAGTACTTGATATAGAAGTATTCTCAATCTGTAGAACTGTAGGATAAATGTCACATATGTAATTATTTATTACTGAATTATTATTAATAATCAAGTCTTCAATATATCTCCAGATAAGAATGAATGCAATATAAAAAACATGGCCGCCACTAATGCAATAATGCATAAATTCAACTGAAATTTATACACCAACAGCCACCATTAGGCTGATATGAAGAGCTGTTTTTTTTTAGTTATACCAACTTCTTACTTTGACCAGTAACCTTTCAACTAATCATATGAAACACTGTGGAAGGACATTAAGAGCTGTGTGTTGAAAGCGGGTAACAGAAAGCACCCCTACCGCCTCTACATTTTTCGCTACCTCTTCCTACAAAGTCATCCTGATCGTCGCACAGTGTATACCATGTTCATATATACATATCGAGTTCTTAAAGCTTATATAAAACTTTTGGTGAGGTAATAATGAATACTGTGATAATATGTTATGTTATAAATAAATTATGTGAAAGTTATAATTTTTGTGTTATTTATCATAGCAACCACACACACACACACAC